ATGTCCTGAGAGTTAGCTCGCGCCAGTGCCACAGCGAGCGACCACGCGGCGCCACAACACAAACGCGTGGCCCGTATGCGTCATTTCACGTCTGGTCTGCCGATAACACTGCGCGGTGTGTGCTCATATTACCATGGTCAACGCGCGGCTCATCACACGATCTGACTCACTGGCTCTATGCTCACCAGCAAAGCGACGCCGGCACCGTATGTGCCACAATGACGAGCCAAGAGCGATAACACCTTCCCACCGGAAGCAAGCTCGGGGAGATCCTCCACAACCAAACGGAGGCGACCGTGGTAACGCCAATGGATACATTCATATAGACGGCATCAGGAAACGACACCCGTGGCTCAGCAATACGGACCAAGAAATAAACACCGAGTCATTCACCTCCGCGCGCAACAATACGCCGGAGCGCTGAAGCCCACCCACCATCGCCACACACCGCCCTCAAGCGGTGCACGGGCTTGCGGATGCCCCCAACGTCCGAGCGGAGGCCAAGGACCGACTGCGCAGACGGTCGTGTGGAGAATTACGACGTGTGCCGCCCTTTCACGCTGACTGAGCGATGTGGTGCAGGTCTGGACGTCAGAGGGGGGTCGTTTCGGGTGGCATGTTACTAGACTCACTAAGGATACTCGAACGACTACTATAACGCGTCCACAAATCTCATGTCGTCGAGCACGCTATTTGAGCGGAATCCGTCTTCATGCATGATATCCCAACTCCTGTTCCGGGAGAGTTCAGAGCTCCCGTACTCGCCGTGGCTTCCAGAACCACTACTTACCGCCGTGTCCTGACCCCGCATAGCGCCATAAGCGCATTGGGGACGTCAAGAGTCTCTGTCGTCGTTTGCGCAGACATGTACTCCTTAGGATTGCGCACGAATTCAGGGGGATATCCGCCGAGGTGAATAGCGTGCTGTAGCAGTAGTAGGTGGCGTGTCAGAGCCTGGTGACAGATATCAACATCGTGGTGTATGTACCTGACCCATGACCGCGTGTATACCCCAGACTTCCTCGATCCGGGCATGAATCTGACGCGAGAGTTTGCATTCGATACCATATTGGACGACGTACGCCAAGACCGCGACGGGAGATTTCGGCGCATATTCCGGGTCCGTCGCTTTGCACAGTAGAACGTGCGTGTCTTGCTCCAGCCTGTGGATAGACGATACGTCCGTCTGGTGAGTCGGCCGGCGCGAACCATTTCCGGGACAACGAACCGCACACGCACCTATCAATGGCTTCGCGGTACGCGCCATTGGAGTGCGCGCCGGGGTAGTGTCGCGCAAACGCCTCCGGAACGAAGTCGTCCGGGTTCTGGCGTTTTAGCTTCTCCGCGCGGCTACGCGCCTGGTCCAGCGCGACGACGAGTTCGGCGGCCCGCGCAGGGGGCTGCCGAGACTTTAAGAATGCGTACGCGTGCTTGAAAGCTCCCGAGAGAGAGAGAACGCCGAAGATGATGCCGAGTATGTCGTAGGACGTAGGCATTTGTGCGGCGGTATCAGATTTGTCGAACGTGGAACAGTTACGGGAGGCTGAGCGACGGGGTTGGGTCACTGCAGCAGGTTTTTATTGTCCTTCCCGCCCGAGTGCGGATGTAAAGCGCCCCCAACAATGTCATGGGTTAACGCCAAGGGTGTTCGCCGGGAAGTCATCAAGCACTCGACATCAGTAGCACAGCTAGTGGCCAGTGGTCACAGCCTTTTGAGGAAAACAGCAGTTGATAGTTTAGACAGTTGACGGGCCATCTCGTCCAGCAGGCACTTCGGGCGCAAGAACGCGTGGCAGTAAGGCTTCGGGGAGTGCATCTGTCCAGCCGGGTGCCGTCGTGTGGTTCGGGAATAGCGGTGCATCTTCCCAGAAGACATATGTACCGACTGTGAGGGATCGACCTGGAGCGCCGCACAGCTATTTGATATCCGGCAGTCGAGATTCGAGACGCGCGGCCGCAGGAGGTCCCGGAGCCAGAGTGGGGGAAGCAGTGCCCGAGAAGATCCCCGAGAGCGTTGCAAGATGACATCGCGCAGGACGATCGTCCTGGTATGCGGGAATGACCAGAGTCCCGCGCCCGCGCTGCTCTTACAAGCCTTTGGTCGTTCTCGATCAACTTCCGACCATAGCCAGCCCTCCTTTCCCTGACATGTAGCGGCGCGACCCCGCACCCCCCAGTCCTCGCCCCTAAATCGAGCCTGCTACGCGGGCTTGAGATGCGAGAGACTGCTGAGAGCAGGAGAAACTCGTACGTGAGCGTCGCGGGATTCACGTGCGTAGGCCAGGTCACCCACCCATAGTTCTGAACACGTCCTGTTCTCAGCCAAGCATCTTTGTAAACACAACAGCGAGCGCTCTGTGTTCTCAAGCTGCATACCTCGGGCCGCGTGGCCCCTCCTCGTTTGGGTTCTCCAGGGGCTTTGGCACCGAACGCCGATCCGGCACTGCAAATCGTCATAAGAGCCTGGATGGAGCTGCCGAACTCAAGACTCACGATCGTCTCCTCAGGAACCGTGACATCACGAAACGCTGCCTGGGGGTTTAACGCCGCGGAGATGTTTCAGCAGATGCGCGGAATTGTGAGGTCAATCAGGCGTCGGCCGCTTTGCGTGGACATCGTACCTAGCAGTGGAGATAATCGTGAGCGACGTAAACAAGTTGAAGCATAGACATACCTAGCCAGCCCGCGTGGCCGCGTACTCGATATTCCCAGCACACCGGCGAGTCTCTCGGGATCGCCCTCGACGGATACCACTTTGCAAAGAACGAATGATAACGGAAAGGGCGGACGTGCAGGCATGCGTTGTCGCATTGCGCTGTGAATTGTGGTCTTTGCTCTCCACTGTGCATGTCTGCGCCGATGTTATTTATTCGACCGTATATCAAACGACAGGCTTGAGCTTGTACTTACCAAGCGAGAAGACGTACCCCAGTCAGCTAATGTGTCGATCCAGGTCCTATAGGCAGTCTTTGTCCCTCTCCTGGTTCGCGACTGATTGCGCCAAAGAGACAGCCGAAAACGTCGAGTAGGAGGTAGGCACCTGCGTCGCAACATCCTGTACATCGAAAAGTGACCAGATGCGTTGGCACATCCTACGATGACACCGAGAAGAGAGTTAGGGTACGCATCTCGAAACTAACTTTGAGTAGGCTTACCCAATGTGGCCGCTCGACTGTGCCTATGGAGCACGTCTTTGACGTTGTGGCATCTCCCGACATTGCAATCACATATGACAGAATAGCGTTTTCCCTAGATTCTCATTTTCGGCGACGTAGGCATCCATGCGGTCCTGGATCTGTACGACGGGGCGCTGGGTGTAGCTGGAGACGGCGGGACGAGGAAACTGCGGATGGAGGCCTCAATCGCGCTAGGCGGAGATCTATCGGTGGGTCCTGCTGTGCGGGGACGGAAGAGAGGTATATTTTGGACACGCAGAGCTCTTTTGACATCGCTCAGACCAGTCAAACACACACGAGCAGCAACGATGGAGGGCGAAAGGACAGTCCAACAGACGCCCAGGCGCGTTCGCTTTGGGGAAGCGTCTTGTGACCGCATTGTGGCGTCGGTGCTCGGCGCTCTGGCCCCTCGCTGCTTCTTGCCTCTCTTCCTCCACGACGGCCATAAGCAGCGTCGACTCAGGCGGTAGTACATAATCCTCATGCAACGCTATGTGTGTTTAAAACTTTCTTCTTCGTCCATTTTCTCTGGCGACCCCGCCACATGTTCGGGTGTATATCCGGCCTGCGTCCCCTACAGCCGTCCGCGCTAGCGCTTGCGTCGTCGCTATTACTACAGGACGAGCGTCCGCCCCCGTAGGGTTTCGATATCCCGGTAAGTTGTTCACGGAATCTACGTCCCGCGCACACAAGTATACTGCTCATATCCACGGCGCCATCTGCATTCCGCTGGTCGCTGCATCGATGGTCGACCAATGTTTCGGTGTGCTATTGTACGTATGTATTCGCTCATAGTACTCGTATACGATAACTACACTATAGCAAATATAGCCCGCAATACCGTTTGCCGAATGCGCGGGGAGGATACAAAGCACGAAAATGGGTCTCAGTGCGTGGTGCTGCCAGTTTTCGATGCTGAGCTGTTTGTCTGACTCTAGCTTCCCCAGTAGCGTAAGCGATGGTCCACGAGTCTGCCCATATCAGTGCTGTTCTTGCAAGTGTTGTCTTCTTGAAACTCACCGGCGAGGACTAGATTGAGCGCACAATGCTGCGTATTGCTACTCCCTGCCGCCGTATTATTGATGGCTCGTATCTTTCCTCAAGAGTGGGCCCGTACTTAATAAGCTCACCAGTGTGGGACGCTTCGTTCAATACCGGTCAATAAATGGACGAAGAATCTAACAAGCCATTGGGCCGCCTTGGCGGATGCTGTATAGGTGCGCGCCATTCACCTAAATCTGTTCCGTTGCGCGTACCGCCAGAACTAAATACTCAATAGTCTGTTTAGATATATAAGTGCTTCTCTCGGAGTATACCTCTCCTGTATACATCAGACACCATATCCTTTACCACCGCGTCGCGTATCTTCTACCATGAGCTCTCACGAAGACGATGATGATGTTTCCTTCATCATTGCCCCTCCATCGTCGAAGCGCCTCTCGATTACCTCCCTGCCGTATGAAGACACATCCCTCTTCCAGGATGAGAGTGCGTACTGCTCGTCTCGCGTTCTCATAAGGTGCTGACGCGCATGTCCCACTCAGTGAATGCCACTTTCTACCTCAACACTTTACCAAACGCTCCCCTTCACCGCGTGGGCCCCACGGGTTCGAACACGTCAGGCTTCAACAATCGGAACTATGCGCAACCGGAAGGGACATCTTCAGCACGGTCTTCCGGAGTTGCTTCGGACCCCCCTGCAGTGACGACCACAGTCCTAGCAATGTCACACGACACAAAGTGGCTTGCAAGCATCTCCGAGGACCGAAAGATCACGCTCTCTCATGCGACCGACCGGAATCTCGATATGAAATGGACGTCCAGCCGGAGGCCCGAGTCCATCTGCGCACTTGCATTTTCACCCTCGGGCGAGTACTTGGCGTCTGCACATGCCGACATTGGCGTGAAGGTGTGGCGCCTCGATCAGGAGTGGCTTAACGGCGCGCCAAGCTGGAAGCCCTGTCATACCCCTGATGGAGGCGCGCTCAAGCTGGCATGGTCCCCGGATAGCACCCAGCTTGTAGTGGGTTCCAGCGACGGCCGGCGGATATACGTATGGAACATCCAACACGAGGACCTAAGCTTTTATATCCGCGAACCTACTAGACAGCAGAGTACTCCTCCCGTTGCCCTCGCCTTCGTCCTCTTCTCGCCCGATGGTCGTCTGATCGCATCCGGCGGTGGACAAGGCTGCTGTCACATTTGGAACGTAGGAAAGCGCGCGCTGCAGGCAACACTAGACGAACACGATTCGTCGCGGACAGTCCTGGCCGCGCACTTCGATGCCTGGAGCAGATTTATCGTGACCGGCTCAGACGACGGCACCGCGCGCGGTTGGAACGCCTTGAACGGGAAGATGTGTATGTCTGTGTCGAGAGGAGGGCCGAAACCTCTGGTAGTGCAGGATGTGTCGTTTTCTCCCGACCGCAAACTTGTTCTCGTCGCCGGGGCAGACGGCTGGCTGTGCCTCTGTGGTAGGGACCCCAAATTTACCAGAAAGCAGAAGTTTCGCGGAGCTATTGATGTGGAGAAGGGGATACACAGCGTGCGTTTCGCGCCAGACGGGGGGTCTATACGGGTTATACTTCTCGATGGGACTGTACTGGTGAAGAAACTACGCGACCCCGAAACATATTTGACACTCTTCGACTACAATAGCCGTTAGAGGTATGATGGCTTTTAGCAAGGACAAGGAGATTATTCGATTTCGCATCTGTCATTTCTATATAGCACTAGCTACTAATATATACCTATATTCTCCACAAAGTCGTGGACGCTGTTTGGAAAGCGTGGGCGTTGAAATGCTGGCAAGAGGATGCAAGAAGCTACGCCTCGAGAGCTACCGCACGTTCGCGGCGTTAATTTGTGCATGCGTGGACATCTTCTCAGCCTCGGGATCCTCTCCCCTCTCTAAATCCACGTCCTAAAAATATGCTCACTCCTATAGAGTGCCTTCATTCTTGGAACTCGCCTGCAGTATAGATATTTAGGGTGTGGATACGCTGATGATTCGAAGCGGCGGTCATCTGTGGGTGCTTTCATCAAGCCGTATTGCGTTCCGACAACAAAGGCACTATTCCGGATATACCGTAGGTCCTGAGAGACTACATCTATACCGTATACGCCACCAGAGATACTGCACAATACCTGCGTACGAGCGCGGACTTGATTAGTTCCTGGGCCATGGCACGTATTGCAAAATCAGTGCGTGATGTAGCTCATTAACACACTCTCATTCATAGGTTGCTACGGCGCCGCATTCACCGTTTCTCAAATAGTTCGCTACGGCTATATAATGAGCCCTCAGGAGAGAGTACTACCGGCGTACATAACACTCCGCATGCATAGCGCATACTCTCTCATACCGCGCCGACGTATAACTCCTTGCCATCATGAGCGGAGAAACTGTCACTGGGCCAACGGCGATTCCACCGTCCCGAGTCCGCCCCGCGAAGGAGCCGTTACCATCCACAAGTACAAGTCCGTACGGACACCACCACAGTGCGCATCCACTGTTCCGCGCTTTCGCATAATATTCACAAGGGTAAACCTTAGCGGCCATAGGCAGCGGATCCCTTTCAACACAAGACCCTCTCATGAAGAACATGTGCCCCGAATCTGACACGGAGTCCGAGTCGTCCAAGATAGCCTCAATCGCACCGTGCGTAGGACCGCCTCACACCCGCCCGGTCACGGCCCTCGCGATCTCACGCGACTCGGTGTGGGTCGCCTGTGGCTACGACGATGGTCGCATCATGCTCTGGAATGCGCGAAATCCATCCGTTAGCACCGTAAGAGTAACTCCTTCGGGGCCCGTCCGCGCACTGGCCTTCTCCCCCGAGGCCGCGGATCTTGCATCCGCACACGACGACGGCTGTATCATGCTGTGGCAAGTCAGATCAAGCGGGTCATCCGGAGGGCGCTCGGTGGAGGAAAGGGAGAAGGAAGAGGAAGTCGAGCTTTGTCCAGAAGCCGATCTCCCAGTACCGGCCTATGGTAAACCCATACGCGCAATAGATTGGGCCCCCGACGGAAAACTCGCAGCGTGCTCTGACACATCTATATTCATCTGGAAGCGGGTCCTCCCCTCTGGCATGCGTCTCTTTGAGGAGTTACAGCCCTTCGAGTGCAAGCCGCCCCTGACTTTCGTCGCCTTCTCCCCGAATAGTCGTCTGCTCGCGTATGGTGGGGGAGACGACAGCTTCTCCGTCAGGAACATCAAATACCGTGTCAACCAGGTGTACCTGTGCGCGTCCACTGTGGCAAGCACTAAAGACACTCTCCTACACTCTGCACAGTTCGACGCAGAGAGCAAACGCCTCGTAACGTGCTCCAGCGACGGCACAGTGCGCAAGTGGGACGTCAGCAGCCCGGGGACACCCGTATACGAGCACACCGTAACGCAGCTCAAGAACGAAGCTCCCGCCAAGCTGTTGCACGCCTCGTTCGCACCCGACGGCGCCCTCACAGCTGCCGCATCCGGCGCTGGAGGCGAAGTGTTATTTAACGAGTGGGAACCTGGCGCAGCCTCTTCAGCCAGCTCCCCCTGGTACGCACTTGCCGCCCCGGACGGCGTCGTGATCGAACGCGCACGCTTCTCACAGGATGGTAGATATCTCGCAACCGGGTCCGCGTCCGGCGCCGTGTGCGTGTGGCAGACACACCCAGCCATCCCCACGCCCCTGGGACGCATCCAAGAGCTCTGGGACGCCGTACCGCGGAGGGACCCCCGTAGCGACGCTTGGTACGATAATTGGACGGGGAAGTGGCAACCGCAACCGAGCAACGAACATCATACGTCTGCATAGGAGTGTGGTCAACTTTGGCGTCAAGGGTAGTCCATGGACATGACGATCATACTAAGCAGTGCGTTCGTGTCGCAATCGGACTATGTCGTGTGCGCCCGGGGAGGCGCATATGCTCGGGAAACCTCGCGGTTCGCGGTGCCATATCGATCCACGTTCGTCTGGTTGCCTAATGTACGTCACCGTTGTCCGTGATCCATCAAGCCCATACTATGCCGTCTTTCCGCACAGCCCCGAGCCCGCCTCTGCACACTCGCTCCCTAATTGAACTCGCCGTGAATGAGAACAGCAAGGTCAGACTCGACAGCATGCCTCAGGATCGCAGAAGCGGCTCTGCACCGTGCATTGCAGTTGCTCCCTCCAGCCGGCCGAACCGCGTCGTGCGCACATATCATTGGTCAAGGAATGGCCCCAAACAGGCCCGGGTGATATTCAGCGCGTCATATAGCTCCGCCACTAATTTACAGGGGCTGCCTGGCATCTCGGATGCTGAGCAGTCTGAGACCATGAGGGCGTGGACAACTCTATATGAAACTGTCCACGCCTCCAACGGTCGCGCGCATAGGATTTCAACGCATGCTGCATCTCCTACCACGAGGTACGCCATACCTGCGTTCGCTTGCGCCCAAGGGTACGGAGAAACGGCGCGCGCAGTGCGCATACGAGTGCCAAAGATGATCATTGCGCGTGCTTGCCTGGAGATCGCCCCTCGGCGTCGAAATGGCATCCACTGCGTTCCCCCGTAAGGCCATGTTATACTTCCCTACTCGCGGCGCCCTCCAAATGACGTCGGCGGAGATCCCCTTCGCGTTGCGAAGTCACGAGGAGGCAGTCCTGAGCGCGACGTCGTCCTGGAAGCTTGGGTCGCGGCCGCATTGTTGCATGCCCCGCCATGTCGTTGGCGCGTATCTCATGCTCGACTCCAGATATCTACGCAGAGTAGATGAAGATTTGAGACCAGTCAAGCAAAGACGAGCACCGATGACGGAGAGCGAAAGGACAGCGTGACAGACGCCCATACGCGTTCGCTCGCGTGGCGAGTGTCATGTGACCGCATTGTGGCGTCGGCGTCACCGGCCTCCTCGGAGTCTGTCCCCGAGTTCGCGTCTTGTCCTCCCTCCACGTCCTAACGCAACAGTCCCGCGATATGTCGGAGCAGTTCTTATACAGACACCCGTACGGTATATTCTCCTCGTTCTATCGACGGGGTTGCGATTGCACTCGAGTCAGCCCCGCGTGGTTGCAGGTATCGTGTCATCAGCGTCCTTCACCCACGCCGTATTGTATACTGACAACAATCCAACTTTGACATAGAACACGCCCACGAAGCACCTCGGGCCAAAATAGATACCCAATATTCTTGTGTACCTAACCCAGCCGCCACGACTACTCCTAGCTCCTCGCTGACGCGCCCTGTCTCCGCGCCGCGCTGTTTCTAGCCTCCCTCCACTCATGCGTTCTGCACTTCCATGCCACCCGGTAAGCACCTTACATTGCTAGCAATGCTCATGCAAAGCATACACCCTGACAATGCATCATCCCGGGCGAGAGACATGGATATCCTGCCGGTAAATGATCCACTCCTGGATATCCGGATGATCCATTTGGCAGGTATTCGTCTGAGGTCTCCAGATGATCTGGCCACATGTCCGCAAGATGTCATAGAGGATATCCTGAGCGGTATTGCAGTCAGTATAGGTGCACGCAACTCACGCAAATACATTATGCGGCACGCTAGACCCTCCCAAGTACATGAGGATCCTCCGAGCTCTCCACCATCCACCCGAACACGCCATTCGGAGCTGCCTACCTCGTCACACATCTCTCGCCGCGCACTCTCGAGACGCCAAAGTCTCCATTGTCACTTCATCATGCCTTCTCATTCGGAAAACAAGGCTGCCCCTCCCTCGTACGGTGAGAGTGCGAATCAGTCCCCCCGCGTTCTCGCACCACAACGCTGACACAGCACATCCCTCAGTGCTTTCGACACACTACCACTGCTCAAACACCCCCACAGTCCTCGCGGTGTCCCCCGATACGACCTGGATCGCGAGCGGCTTGGAGGACGGTACCATCCTCCTCGTCCACTCACCCAACTCGCACATCGCCCGCTACTGTGCGCATCAAACACCCCATCTGCGCACTCGCCTTCTCCCCAGACGAACCCCTGGTCCTCGCTTGCGCAGACAGCGCAGACCTCCTCACCGCATGGTGCATTCACCGCAACCAGCCCACAGACGAGGAGCCGGAGCCCGCAGTCGTTCTCGAACCTCTCGCACCCGCCCACCACGGCCCTGCATACATCCTCTCTCCCCCAATTCCCGGGCCCGCACACATCCTCGCGCTGGCCTAGTCCGCCGCCCCCACCCCCACCCGCATCCTCGCCCGCCCCGCCCTCGACCTCTTCACCTGCCCCCCTCGCCAGCAGACAGACGTCCGACCCGCCCGCCGCCTTCCCGCCTTCCCGCTCGCCTTCGCCATTTTCTCGCTAGACAGCCTTGGCGTGCGGTTGGCAGGACGCCGCGTCGTGACATGGTACAGCGCATGCCACGCGCGCACCTGTGACGCCCCAATCGCATCCCTCTCCTTCCGCTGGACGCTACTCCCTAAATCCGCGGTGCTGCTGCTGTGGTGCGCCGTCTTCCCTTCCCGGTGCCCCGTTCCCAGTGCGCGATTATCCCATCCGGGGCGCGCGACGGACGGGGCCATGTATCTCTGCTCAACGCACGACGTAGCGGGGTTCTTCACGGCTCACGCCGAGCGCGAGTACAGCACCGTCTCGATGCACACCGGGCCCGCCCTAGTCAGCCTGAACCATCCCGGGCGGCGCGGCGGCGCGTCGATAGCACGCAAGTGGCTATCGAGGCACCGTATCGGCCGTATATCGCAAGCACGGTGAATCCTGCATGTTCGGTGTATTTATCATGCATGCGAGTGCGCGTCGGAACGAGTACGTACGCTGGTTTCGAGCGACGTCGCGCTAGCTCGAGATGTACAGTGCAATCCCGCCTCTTCGACCGCGGCTGTTCTCTTCGAATCAGCAAACGGCGCGGGCTCCGTATCTACCGTCTATTGCGTGTACGACGAGTCCGTCTGTGATCCGTAGGTGCCGTACGTTCATAGTATGCAGTGAAAGCATACACGTCAGGATGCGAGTACGTACGCTGGCCATGGTGCGCGACGGTGCGCCATGTCTGCCAGCTGCGGAAGAGGAGCGTACGGGTCTCTCTGCCGCAAACAGCTATTCATAGGGCCTGTACGCGCTCATCAGACCGGACCGTGCGAGTGCGCACGTTTCCCGCAAGACAGCGATCGCATCGCACCGAGACTCGTCGAAAAGCGCTGGACCGCGTCCCGCCGCTCGCAGGCCCAACCACATCCCCGCGCTGACCTAGTCCCCACCCACATTCTCACCCACCACACCCCGGCCCCCTCTCCACCCAGCACCCCCTTCCTAGCAGACAGACGTCCGACCGGCTCGCTGACTCGCCGTCTCCCGCTCGCCTCCGCCGTCTTCTCGCCCCACAGCCGGCTCCTCGCATCTCGGGGGGCGGACGGGGTGTGTCGCGTCTGGGACGTCGAGCGCAGCCCGCTGAGTATGAACGCCGAGGGAGGGAGGGAGCACGGTCGTGGGCGCACAGTGGGGAGGATGCCGTGTCGCGAGTTGGTGCAGCGCCCCAAGCGTGTGCACCTGGGACGCCCAGATCGCATCCCTCTCCGCCAGCGGGACGCTGTTTCCCAGATACACCGTGCTCTTGGGCCCCGGCCCCACCCCCCAGCGCGCATCTCTCCCCTCGAAACGGCGCGGCGGACCCGACCATGTATCTCTGCTCTACACGCACCGCAGCGCGGTCCTTCACGACGCACCCCAAGGGCGAGAACGGCGCCGTCTCGGTGCACATCGAGCCCACCCTAGTCAGCCTGAGCGAGTCGGCACGGCGCGGCGGGGTGTCGATAGCTTGTGGATGGCTGTCGGGGCTCCGGATGGGGGGGGATAGGGCGGGGGCGGGGAGTTCGGGTGTGATCTGCGTGTGTGGTGAGGTTAATATGTGCAGTACTAAATGCATGAAGGTCGGAGCGAGGATGTACGCTGGCCACGGCGCGCGCTGGCTTGACATGTGTGGCATCTGCACGGGGCTCCGGCCTCTTCGACCGCGGAAGGGGAGCGCACGGTTCTCTCCAGCCAACAGCCAACAGCCAGGAGCCAAGGCTCCCGCAAACGAGTCCCGGTACACGCCCGCCATCATGAGCATACTCACGACCTGGCGAATGCGCACGTCTCTCGCAGGACGGCAATAACTTCGCGGCCAGATCATCTTAATCTAGAAGACTGGAAGACACGCCCTGCGGTTCCCGCGTTCCCGGAGCTCGTTCAAGAGCGCTGAGACGCGGTTCTGCGGCGAAATGCTTGCAGGAATGCATGGTATGCGATCTAGGAGAAAACGCGCAAGAGACGAAGCGACGACCGTCACCCGCGCAGAGTGAGAACGAGGATTTGCAGTCTGTCATGCAGGGTAAGTGTTGGCCTTCACGACGATTGCATTCCCCGTGCGTATACCCGTGGCAGTACGTTGTGTGCGGTCAAGGAACGACATCCGGGCAGCCTCAACGGTCCACATATACCCTCATGTTCACGCGATCTGTTGCCGCTACCACGTCTGCCGCGGACGCGTGCGCGCGCGGAGGCTCACCATGATGTGAACGATTCAATGTGTCGCTGTTGACACCGACAGCCGAACGAGAAACCAACGATTAGCGCGTGCTTACCTCAGAAGCACCCTCGACCGGCAGAGGCATTCACGCCGTGTCCCGACTGCCTCTCTTCACGATGACCTCCGACGAGCGTCGAGGGAGGTCTTCCAAGGGGGCGGGGCGGAGCGGTGTGTCGTCCAGTCGGGGCGACATCGATGTATGCGCGACGGCACACTTTGACGATTGTTACGGACGTGTGGAGAGCGCGCTAAGGCGGTGGAGGATACGGCGTCGTCCATGTATGCGCCCAAAAGCGGCCTGAGCAACGGGTAACGAGCACTAGGGCGCTGTCCACGCATACAAGCCGCGTTAAAGCTGGCAAACGCGGGGAACTGGCAGATCTGTACGAGGAAAGTCGTCAGGTGTCTCGTGTAGAGGTTTGCTTCGCTGGTGTACCTTTCCACAGGACCGGGTCTTTGTATGCGAGGTGACGAGAGAACGATAGGAATAGGTAGCGCGGCATGTCTGAGGTGGAGGATAGGGTTCCGCAGGACATGCATCGTACGTGTTATAAAGATATCCCAGCGCGCAGTGTAGTCGCAGCAGACTAAGTACATGGTGTTCTTGCGCCTTCAAAAGGATCGAGTGTAAGCGTCGTGAGGGAAGTCGAGATGTGTGCGCCACGACAGAAGGACCGGAGTAATAGAGAGCCGCATACATAGAGACCCGAGTGGCCTTTAGACGTTGAGAGAGTGTCCGAGCGCGCCGGTGTCAAAAAGCTGAAGGTGGCGGGTTGGGGTCGTAGGCAGGAAGCCTGGGAGTTCGAAGAGCAGCTGTCAGAGCGCGTCGTCCGTGCTAAGTCCAAGACGGCGAGAAACGCTGCTGTCAAGTCTGGAAGGGCGAGAGACGTGCGGGACTAGTGGTCGCGGCTGTTCTCTGCGACAGGGCGCTGGGTGTAGTTGGAGACGGCGGCGAGGAAGTTCCGGGTGGAGGGTTGCCTCGATCGCGTCCAGGTGCAGATCGATCGACGGTTACTGCTCCACAATCGGTTACTGCTCCACAATAACAGCGGTGAGGTCTATTTCGGGTACGCGGAGAGTTTTGGACGTCGTTCAGACCAGTCAAGCACAGACGAGCACCGATGACGGAGAGCGTAGGGAGAGCGCGACAGACGCGTGGGAAGTGTCATGTGACCGTGATGTGGCGTCGACGCGTTCGTGCGGGTTGGTAGCTCTGCCAATTTTCCGGAGCGTATTCTTCTAGACAAACCTCAACAACACATCACTGGGCGCAGCGGCACATTTTCTCCCAGGCGAATGCGCGGCTAATCTGCACATTCCGCCCGCATTTCGCCCAGATTTCGCGTAGATTCAGGCGCGAGGAGCATTTCTGGCGAATGATCACACTTCGCCCACATTCCGCCCACATTCCCCTCATGTTAGACTCACATTACGACTGCGAGAACATCTACGAGGGTACCTGTCCCTTTTATAAATTACATATTACATAATCACAGCCAGGATCAGTTTAGCAGCTCGCAGCCCGGCAGGCTGCTCGTCGTGCTCGCCCGCTACCCGGCGCTGCAGTTCAACCACCTTCTCCATAAACACGAATGATAGCATGGAGCACGTAGCAACGATTAAAATGTATTGTGAAATTACGAGGTATCGAGATACATGCAAACGGTATTGAACGGACGGATAGGGAATCGAGGGCTGATTGATGATTTCCTACAGCGTACCAATATTGGGCGCCGGCGGGGCTGGCACGATGGCAGCTGCAAGCGCACTGCAAGCTGAGCCTATAGATTATCGCTAGATAAATACAAGATGCTCACATGTATCAGTATCATGCATGAAGCGAGTAGCAAGAAGCAGCTTACCGATATATAAGGCGTCCCGCGGTGTTCTTTCGTAAACCTCCTGTAGGTGTTGAGTGTCACTGTATGACCTGACGTAGACTCACCTTCGGTAGGATGGACTGGTACGGATGAAGGGATAACGGGAGACGCACCATACAAAAGAGAGCTACGTGCTAGCACAGGGACGCGGCCCCATGTAAAGACAGGTGAGTCGTCAAAACAGGGCACAGAGAATACTACTCACCGATAGAAACCAACAAGGAACCCTGCTACGCGTGGAAAGGCCGCGCGTTGAGTGGAAAGGTCGCGCATCAAGTGTTATGGTGTGCGAGAAGTTAAAACTCACCTTATGCGTACTGATGTGGTGGTCGCACCCCAACGGAAAGTAATTAGCCGCATATAAAGTGTTATGAAGGCAAGACATACCTTTTCGGCGCGCATATAGTCACTATAACCGTCGCGCGCGCCATCAGCCAGCACTTCATCATCGCATGCGAGCATCAATCGAGTGTCCTAGCAGGATAGTGTACTCAACTAAGGCCTATGAAGATATCGAGGGAGTTTTCATATCGCAGAGCGGGGAGGACGGCATGCATAGAGCTTGCAAGAGAGAGCGGCCATGAGGGAAGAGGAAGAAAGAGAGTTGCGTGAAGCCTGTCAGACGCGACACGCTCGGCAAGTGTCCCATTGCGGACGCGCGGACAACCCATATATGGGAGACAGGGATCAGGGATATTACCAAAACCCAACATATCTCTCACCTAGTACATGCTTAAACTTGAGGAATACTGAGGGTATCCGAAGGGACAGAAGAATGTGAGAGGAATGTGGGCGTAACTTGCAAATAACATTGTACATTCGCCTTCAGGAGCATCTGAGGAACATTTAGACGAAATGTGAGGAGAATCTGCGAATTAGACACAAATCCTCCCGCGCGAAAATCTACTGCTGCGCCCTGTGCATGCAATGTTTACGCTGACCGTATGTATATGTTTTGTTCACAACGTGGCTTCGGCGTCTTCTTGCCACCGTTTCCGAGCCCGAGTTATCCTCATATTCTATCGGTTCTGTATGGACTATCTGCTCCATATCCAATGACATTCAACTTATACACAGATTTCACCTCCATATCCAGGACACGGCGTATTCCTCAATCCTCGTGCACTAGGTCTCATGTCTACACCTTGCTGTCCAACATATCGCTGTGGTAATTCTGGTGCGATACCGTGACCACGGGGCACTGGCATGCATATGTATTGTACCATGGCCATTTTCACTCGGACTCAAAGCAATCTTATGACAGACGTTTCTAATCGCTGAATAGAGTGTGTGAAACAGATATAATCAAATTAATCAAGAATAATACCGACACCTGGGCGGCGGCTACCATCAGTCAAGTTGAGTAGGGAGTCGGTATTGTATAGATGTATTTTCATGCACCCCATTCACCGCCGTATGTAAAATGCTCTCGCAGAATCCGCTAAGATATATAAGCTACCCGTGATGACAGCTTTCTAACATACATCGCACATCGCACGACCGTCTCCACCCTCCACCAACCCTACTCAGCATCTATCGTTCCTGAACCGTACATCTCCTCCCGATGAGCTCGCAAAACACTCCCATTCCGTCCCGAGTTCCCCTTGCGGTCCCTCGTCCAGGAACCGCGCCGATACTACCGGAGCCTGCTTTGGCCACTGGGTACACCAGTGAGTACACGATGGTCATCGACTCGGTCTAAGTCCGATACTGACGTGCGTACCAATATCCTCCAGTGCCTGACCACATCCGACGGCCCAGCACTACAGGGGTGGATTTCGGCCGCAGAGCACCGCCCGGCGGAAGCTACGTGATCGTGGAGTCGTCTTCAGGACCTCATCACTCCAGCCCGGTGACCCTTGCGGTCTCCCGCGACTCCAAGTGGGCGGCAAATGGCTACCAGGACGGAAAGATCATCGTGTGGACTATCAGTCGTCCGACGGAAGTCTACGTACAATGGGACACCGAATCCACCGTTCACGCGCTCGCCTTCTCCCCCAAAGGGGACTGTCTTGCGTCCGTGCATGAGGACGGTAGCATCCAGATATTTTCGGTCACTGGATACAAGCACAATCACTCGGGCAAGGAAGAGAAAACGAAGCTTGAGGAGGGGTCAGAGAAACTCTATCCTAGCCCTACTGGCCCTACCGACCATAGCCCCACCGACCCTACCGTTGACGAAGATCAGTGTTGCAATTCGAAGTCCCCGATTCCGCCATTGTGCGCGGTGGACTGGGCCCCCAACGGTCTCAGAATTGCAGCGTGTTCCGAGGAGTTCCTATATATCTGGGACCTCAATACCCTTGAGCACGACTTCAAGTTCTCGAAACCGACCGAGGCAATCCCACACCCGGGCCTCACCTTCGTCACTTTCTCCCCGGACAGCCGTCTGCTCGCATACGGAGGGGCGCGTAATCAATACTACGTCCGCGACTTCGAGCGCAACGGAGTCCGAGCAGCTCCCCAATGCATCTGGGAGCCCGAATTCGAACGCACGATCATCGACGCCGCGCTCGACGCGAAGGGAGAGCATCTCATAGCCCTCTCTGACGACAACACCGTGCGCATCTGGGACATCCGCGACCGGCACACACTCAAAATGCAGTACACCATGCCCGACGGCGAGGTGTTGGCCATCTCGTTCTCGCACAACGGGACGGCCATGCTAGTCGCGTCGCACGATGATTACCGGAAGGCATTTTTCAGCGAGTGGAACGTGTCGGACTCGCTCGTGAACGCCCCCCGCTACCGCCTGCTCCATGGCCCAAGGACCAAGGCCGATACCCGGGCCGCAGCTGTTATTAGTCGCGCACGCTTCTCTCCAGACGGAAGCTTCATCGTCTCTGGTGCGTGGGACGGTACTGTGAAACTTTGGGGGATGTCGTTTGTATACGTGCCTGCTACGAGCCTCGGGGAGTAGATTAGAGCTTACCTAGTATCGAACTCTGTTTTCGTCTGGTATAGATGTTCGACCGTCTTCTGCTGCAGAGTGCACCTAGAGCTTCCGAGCGACCACTGTTTAGGTCCCGCTTGGCGACTTGTACGTGCCCGTGCGAGAGTTGTATCCGTCCAAATCGGCGTAGGTCCCCAGCGTGCGCGCATGCGCCATTCCGAATTCTCTCGGCGACTCTGCGCGTGATCTAGGATAGCAATGAGTTGCGCCACGCAAGAAAGGAGCCCCAAAATTTTGAGGAGCTCGCTCTCCGAAGAGAACGTTCAAGTCGGCAGAGGAAGACACTTGCGCAGCCGCGTCTTGAACGTAGAGAGGCGACGAGGAGTGTCGGGCACTCTACGATCATGGCAGAGAAGGAATTTGAATTAGCAGAGCGTGCTAGCGTTCCAGGAACCATACCTATGCAAGCCAAGGACCTCATCGTCGTCTTTCCTAGTTCAACTGCGGGCATAGTGTGCTCATTTCGAGGCGCCTCCTCCATGTGGTATCCTCTGCTTCCCTGGACGTCTTACCGTTTCCCGCGAGGCTTCGAAGCACAGGCTGTCCTGAATAAGGAAAAGAGGAAAACACGTCTTCCTGCTCACTGCATCTCTCGATCCGCGTGGCCGCTGAGGAATACGGACGTTCGGTATCCTACGACCGGGTACAACGCTGTGCAGCGATCTTGAAGAGAGTCCAGTCTCATCGTCAACGGACTGATGACACTACGAATCATGAACCCTGTTTTTTGGCGAGCATTCACGGCTTTTTCGAGTGCCTGCACGCGCTCCTGCTTGCACGCGGCAGGTCCGCGACCAGTTACTGCAAAGTCTGGTACGTGAGCGATGCAGCAGGTCCCATCCCGAACACTCCTAGCAGACAACGCACCGGGGATCCTTGTTGTGTATGGGTCGAAGTTACGTGACGTCTTCGCGAACGCAGCAGCGGAGAATCGGGATTGCGCAGGAGCAGAAACGAGATCTATCTTGAGCGCGCGGAGGACTTTCGACATCGTTCACACCAGTTAAGCAACGACGGACAGCGAAGGGACAAAGCGAAAGGACAGCGCGACAGACGCCCAGGCGCGTTCGCGTCCAATCATTCACGTGGAAATTCGTCATGTGGCCGTATTGTGAGTCGTGACGTCGGCGCGTCCGCTCTTTGTGTCTTGTCTTTCTGCCTCCACGCCCTTGCTGCTCCCTGCGACGTACCAGGGATTTTTCTGTGATCAAGAGACTGCATCAAAAGAAGGGCGCAAAGTGTCCAACGAGTCCATTCACCGGCACACGCGGCAGTCAACCCACGCGTATCGACACTCATCAAGCTTCATTTCAAGCCGCCTACACTGTATTATTCACTGCGTGAAGTCGCGAATAGCACGGGGTAATCTCCCCGATGCGATTGCAAATCAGTCCAGATATCTTTGAATTTATGATAGATAGACCCACATAGTACCGTGCGCGATGTGAGATCGCGATTTTAGCGACGAGTGTGGATATGACGCGGGAGATTTCAGGAGATGTGAAGTCCCCTGAATAGCACGGAAAGAGATTTGTGGTGGCTCTCGTTAGCGCTCGTGGGAGGGAGATGTGAGATCGCGCTTCGGCGCGATGCCTCCTCCTCCCCGAATGCGATGTCGCGCGTTGAGCCATCGCGTTCCAAGTGTATATATTTTCTCGCAGCTCGTAAAACGAGTCGTCGTCCTTCTCTGCTCCCCCACCATACCGCTCGACATGCCACCCAGCCGCAGGCCCCTCCTCCAAACTCCTTCGCGCAATGCGCTCGTGCCGTACCTCGCGTACAAACTTCGCAGCTCGTCTCGCAAGGCCGGTGTGGGGCACATTCTCCCGCGCGACCTCACTGCCCAGCCGCTGCTCTCTCGTACGCCAACAACACCAGCAGAGTTGTACACCGGCGCATAGCTCGACAGTGACATCTTGGGCCTCCGAGGCGCTTTGCAGGGTGCGGGCCCTATCCAGAATGTCGCTCTCGACATTAGTATCGAGGAAATTCGGGTGCGTGTTTCACATCTACGCGCGAGTCATTGATTATGGACTGACAGTACTACACATGGCGAGGTTGAAGGTTCCTTTCAGGACCCTTCACTGAAAGGAACCTTCAACCTGGACGCTGGTCCTCACTGGCCTCAAGCCCGATATGTTCATGACGCCCCTTGGCAAGCTCACGCTCGCGAAGACTGGCAGAAACTCACAACTCTTTATAGATTTCAGGTCGCGCAAATCCACCCGCATGTCGTCCGCCACCGCAGGCTTCAGTCATGTGGGTGCGGTGCGCAATCGCGCACCTACTGTCTCGCTACTACAAGTCCCCGCGTCTCAGGTGCGTCACATCCCCCTTTCCACTCCATACTTTCCGGTTAGAACCCTTCGCTAACATTCAGCCTGCGTAGGGACCTCCAGTATTTGCAGGCTTGAATACTTGGTACTTCCGCTCCGTACCGGCCACCCCCCATCACACCCAAAAAGCTTCGCTGGCAGTACCTTACTGGATACTCAGCGTCGACCAAGGCACCGGGTGCCTTTACACCATCGGTCGGGACTCGGTGGAAGCCCCTGCAGTGTCGCGTCATCCTGGGCAGACCAATCTTCACTCGAGGATTCGGTAGTCATAATATTCGCGCGGGCACAGTCGCCGCACCAGCTCTCCGAGCCTGTCTGCTGTCGAAGAAGTTGCCCCGGCGTTCTCTTCAAAGTACATCTGTGTTTGCGATATGCACTCGTATGTTTCTATCTTATGTAATGCGATATATTATCTGTTCTGTATATCCGCGATACTCTAAATATATTCGATGTGCGTCAATGACACGTCGACCCACATATGATCGAGCGGCGACCCGGGGACATCTGACGTAGGAGCTATGTGCCGCATTGAGACATCTCCCCGAATAGCCGCGCTGGACGATTCCACATCGCCACTTTATGCTATTATAGTTCGCGGCACATAGCCACGGTACGCTATTACACGAAGAAATCGATACGATTAGTGTGTATATTAGTTTGGATATGCGACGACGCCGTGGATCTCCATCCGTGGCGATCTTCACATATCCTGCGCGGGCTATGTGGGCGCTATCTCACATCCTCGGGCTAATCTCACTCGAATTCGATTTGCGCGTTCACGCAGTGATTGACACGTCGTATTTCTGGGTACACTAGCGCGCTCATATCCCAGATTTCATAGCTGAACTATAGGGCATCTGTCTAAATACCAGCCGCCGGGACTCTCGGGCGGATATTGTAGAATAGGTGCGCGCCATTCAACCGATTGTTTTCTGCGATATATATCACGAACGCACTATAAAGCCCATGTCAAATATATAGGGATTCTTCAGAAGGATGATATCCAACACACATGGCACACTCCCCTGCCCCCATCGGTCGCTTCTAACCTCGCGATACATGTTCTCGACATGAGCTCTCAAGAAGCCAACATTGTCGTACACGTAGTCTCACCATCATCCCACTCCTTAGCAATGTCTTCGCATTTGGACGGCCCTGCTCCTCCATATGACACCGCCCCTCGTCAGGATGAGACTCCTCCGGACGACGCTACTCTACCGGCCTACACTCCATTTGACGACATTCCTCCTTATGGTGAGAGTGCATGTATAGTATTTACCTGTCTTTCGTTGTGCTGACATACGCCTCGACAACGCCCAACTCGAAACACCACTCAGGCGATCCCACTGCCCTTGCTGTCTCGTCCGACACAAAATGGATTGCCAGTGGTTTTCAAGACGGCTCCGTTCTCCTCATCGATGTAACCCAATCGCGCACTAGCCGCGTACAACGGGCGACCAGCAACCCCATCCGCGCGCTCGCCTTCTCCCACAAAAGACCATTGCGACTCGCGTGCGCGCATAGCGATGACAAAATCACCGGGTGGGACGTCAGCAAGGTCAACGACGCGGCCGTCGGGCTCCAGCACCTTGGGTATCCTCCCCAGCGGCGCTCCGCTATGTACGACGGACACATCCTCGCCCTGGCCTGGTCCCCAAACGACGATCGTGTCATGGTCTGCTGCGAGCGCGGACACCTTTTCGGCTGGTACCCCATTGCGAATGGCGGGCAGTCGGTCAAATGGCTCGGCCAAGAAGATGAATCCACCTTCCTCATCACATTCGCCGCGTTCTCGCCCGACAGCCATCTTCTCGCATACCGCGGGGCGGACGGCCTCTGCCGCATATGGAGCTTTGAACGCGGCGCCCTGCAGGCAACGCTGAACGAAGACGCAAGCAGCGCCAACTTCGCCGTCCAGTTCGAAGCAGGCCCGGGCCCTCGCATCGTAACATGGCGCGGCGACGCGTACGCGCGCACCTGGGACGCCACGAGCGGGCGCGCGCTCGCGGTAACGGGCATGCACAACGCGTCGGTGCGAGGCGCATCGTTCTCGTCCAGCGGAAAGCTTCTGACGGTGCTGAGCGACGGGGACGTGGTTGTGTGGGAGCAGGAGTCGGATGCGGGCTTCACGGGCTCCCGCATACTGCTGCGTCACAGCGCGGCCACAGGGACAATCAACAGCGCGTGCTTCTCTCCGGGGGGCCAGTTCATCGCGTGTGCGGCGTCCGACGGGACCGTGTGCCTCTGGAAGGCAGACGACGCGGCACGCATCCCGAGAGTCTTCAGGGTTCACGAGGAAGCGACGCTGGTGGCATTCAAGGGGGATGCTGTCCTTGTGTTCGTCACGAAGGATGGCTCGGTGCACACTGCGCCCACTTCCGGCGACGGGCTGGGGGATAGAGTACGAAGTGTATGGCGTAGATCATTATCGGGTCTTCAGAGCAGCATGTCGCGTATGCGCAGTGTATGATCTGCACGCATGGCATAGTTAGCATACGTGATAGAGCACATGGGCATTGAAAACACTCAATTCCGCTGACCACGCTGTGTGTCGGCTTGACACCTGTGCCATTCTGACAGTCTTAAGGATATATCTGTTCTAGATACGCACCGAGTCAACTTTAACTTCCCCGGAAGTTTTTCCCTGTCTTGTTCCCCTGTCTTCAACATCTGCGCTAGTGTGCGTAACACCCGCTGCTTCGGATCCCAGCGCGTCTTAGCATGCAGCTGCTCTTCTTCTACTTAAGTCGTCTTTTCATCCTGGATCTGGCACGAGATGATCAGTTGGAACTCGTTACCATTGCAATACGAAAGTAGGCTATGAGGCAACATACCGTGCGCCACAACTCCTAACCATCGCTCCCGGGCCCGTAGCTCTTGGCCTGGTGCGCGTGCATGCAGAAATCCTGAGGTCTATCCACGATGACGTGGACGCGAAGGGACAAGAGATATACGATCGTAGCGGCCGCCGTCTCCGCGCGTCGTGCGGGCATTGACCACGCGAATATACTGTCTGGTGAAAGACCATGTCAGCGTGCGCGTTCGTGGACGTGCAAGGTCCATAGCGGTATACACCCCCTACTTACCTTTCATCAGAGCGTATCATGACGGAGCACCTGGTCGGAAAGAGCGGATACGGAGGGCATGCGCCACGGCATAGTACCTCGAAAGGAGAGGCCTATGGCCCCGTACCGTGCGATGTGCCTGGCTCGCTCCAATCTACTATAGTGCGTCGAAAATATTCAGTAAAGCCGAAATGTTCCACGCGTGAGGACAAAAGATCGCACCTGTATAGCGAATGATTTTTTCATGAGGCGACTACGGGGTACTACCCGCGTTATCCGCTCATCCAGATGCGGTACGGCGTCTCCTTCGGTATGACAGCCAATTCCGCCGCATATGCAGAAGGCCGTCTCGACCTGAAAGCATTACACGAGACGAGTAAGTGTATGAGCCAGGGTTTATGGAAAAGAGACCACATACGGAAGGTATAGCGCGACACCGCGCAATTCGTCCAATATAGGCAGAATATATCAGCGTGGCCTAATCCGAATGCGCCAAGGACAGGGCCGAAGAGTAAGGCGTTCCAGAGTTGAGGGAAGCTTGACCGCGAACACAGAGCCACTCCAAAGCTAGGTTGCGTCCCAGTCTTATGGCGCAGACTGCATGCCTCATGCTGGAAGACACGCCCACTTCCTCAAAAAAAGACCAGTCTGCGTGACTCGGAGGATAGCCTGACCGGTGCTGACTTCTTCCTCTGGAGGCTTAGCGCTTATAGCACAACCTGGAGATTGTATAGTACACATGATGTGAGACAGGTACTTTCTGCAGGGTATTTGTTTGGGGGTGGCAGGGGCGAGTCGGAGACGACGCGCTGAAAGCTACCGATGTCAAGCAAAACGTATCAGTATGTTGTGCGTGATATAGAGCCGGGACACCTCTTTCATCGCAAGAGAGATACATACCAGGGTTCCATCGCATTTCTAGGCCCAGGAGAGCGACTCGGAGTGAACTGGCACTATGGCCGAGTAGTTCGAGAACAACATGCAAGGGACGAGACGCTCGCCGGACGCATCCCGGTACCCCACGTGCCCGTAACGTGGCATGGGCGTCTCTGCGTCGTTCGGTCCTCGCCAACGACCGCGGCTCAGGCCGCTCTCCTCCTCGAGTCTGCTCCTCCACGCGCCGTATTCTGGTCTGAGTATGAGCAGCGTCGTGTACCAGCTTTCATTCGCTTTTGGCATTGGGACTACTGCTTGACATATCGCGGCGCTACTGTATTCGCTCACCTGTTTGTCTGATTTCTTTGCGGGACGCGCGGCGGTCCCGGGTCTGGCATTTGCGTATGAGTCTGCATTTGTCTCAAACGGCGCTCTTCCAGCAAGTCCGGTATGCTTGAAGTTGCATTTTTTGAGCTGCCGAAACCTCATGCATACTGATCTGCTAGATTTATCCTAACTAGGATTATTGTTCGCGCCGTAAACGGCGCGTCCCCGCCGATTGCCCGCCGGCCGGCCCTCGTATTCATGATGATGCATGTCTCTATTCACTCATATGTTTGTAGGTGATAGATGAAGTATATAAATCATGCGCAATATCGGTCGTCAGCCCGGCGCACGGCCAATACAACTAGCCTTTAGGTCGCTCAGGCAGATATTGTAGCATGCCAGGTAGGTGCGTATCAATCAACTCAAACTATTCTGTTGAATGTCGCACACCTGAGCAAAAATGTGTACTGTCTCAGGTATATAGCGTATCCTACTGGATGGACGTGCCCAATAAACACCATCATTCCCGCCCTTCCATCCAGCCCGACAGGACGCTCATTACATCTCACTTTTCCACAAACTCCGAGTTTCATTTATCAAATACCTGGATCTCCATGGTGCTCTCGCGGCTAGAACCTATCTCCGACATCCGCTGTAAGAGTCCAGGTCAATCGTCTTGTACTCTGGTACATCACTGATATGTATCAATTTTCCAGCGACGTTGTGCCATTCGGATGATAGCACCGTGTACAACGTCATCGAAAATACAAACAATTTCTGTTTGGATGCTCCGTTTGAAGAGGAGCATCGAGCTTTCTCCCACTCGCAGAAGCCTCACGTCGACAGCCCGGCGGACTATCTCGACACGCCCCCAAACCAGGAACATCCAGACGCGATCACTGCCCTCACCATCTCGCCCGACTCCGAGTGGGTCGCCAGCGGCTCCCAGAACGGCACTATCTTCCTCCGGAACCTGAAGACAGCAGATCCTCGGGCCATAGCACAGAAGACGACCCGCTCACTCTCCGCCGCCCACATCCTTGCCTTCTCCCCCACAAGCAGGCTCCTCGCCTCCGCGCTCGCAAACGGGCTCGTATCGGTGTGGTCCTTCAATTACGACGGACCCCCACGCGCACCAGTCATGCTCGAGCTAGAGCCATCCGAGTTCTCATGCTCGGCGTACCCGGCGCTCGCAATAACATGGCTCCCGGGGGGCGCGCGCATCGCAGTTCTCACACACGATGCGTCTCTCTGGATCTACAACCTGGACACAGACGCGCTCAATCATGTCGAGCTACGGAGCGACGCTGACGCGCGGATCGCCTTTGCTCTCTTCCACCCCAACGCCCGTCTTCTCGGGTGCGGCGGCGTACCGAGCATTTGCGAAGTCCGAGACGCGCAAACCTACGCGCAGGTTGCGGACCTCAACAGATGCAACCGGCAGGGGGCGGCCCTGATTTCCCAGCTCCACACACCCGGAGAACACCCCGCCACACGCTCTACCGACGCAACTGCGCGCGTCTGGAACATCCAAAGCGGGGAAAGGCTCCTGCCCGTGCACCTGCCTGACGGAGTCGTGCGCACCGCGGCGCACTCCCCCGGGGGCACCCATTTTCTTACCGTGCTAGACGACGGGCGGATGCTCCTCAGCGAACTCCAAGAGCAGCTCGGTTTTTTCACCTGGTCCGCGCTCTCTGGGCCCGGCCACTTTGGGGCTGTCACCAACGCGTGTTTCTCGCATAGTGGAAGATTCATCGCGTCTGCGTCGTCCTGCGGGATACTCTGTCTCTGGGAGACGCACTGCGTAGCAGCAGGCCCCCGGTGTGTCTTCGAAGTGCCGCACGGGACCGCGGTTACGCAGGTGGCGTTCAGCGGAGACGACACGACGCTGGTGTGTGCGACGGACGACGGGGCGGTGTACATATGGCCTATTATCACGGCAGCTTCCGACCGCGCGGCCTAAACATGAGGTGCGCATAGACGTTGAATCGATAGGAAAGCTATTCGAGTAGACGCGCGTTATTATGCTCAATGCACGTTGCGCTTGCCTGATCTAAGCGTCCACATACGCCACAAGATTTTTCACTGTCCATGCTTCTACAGTTCGCGTTCTTATAAAACCAGTCTCCTCCACATATATCCGTCGGTTTAATCCCTGCTCTCTGCTGGACTGCGTCGCTGCAGCCGTCCCGGGTCCGTTGCAACCATCCTCAATACCAAGTACACACAATGTCTCCTCGACACTCAAACCTCGCCACTCCATCAAGCTCGTACTCGCGCATCTACCTACAAGAATTAGAATCGTATCCGACGCGCACCTCGAGCCCCATCGAGGATGGCGAAAGTGCGATTTGCCACCTTATGAACTGCGTTCAAAATGCTGACACGCTGCTTCACATGGTTCTCGCCAGCAACACCCAAGGCTCGACATGCCGTACCACTACCCAGTCAGACGTGTTCCGCCCAGTCTCACTACTTCAACGACGAATACTACGCTGTCGGCTACGACACCGGCGAAATCGAGCTATGGATCAACGCCACCGATCCCGACCAGCCATCCGCATGGCGGCACCAGGGAACGTGGCTCGCACACCCACCACAAATCGTCCCCGGAGGCGTAATGCGCAAGATTTCCGCCCTCGCCTTCTCTGCAGACAACGAGCTCCTCGCGTCCGCAGACGCAGCGGGCATCATAAAAGTATGGTCCACCTCCTCGATGAAAGCGATCGAGCCGGCACTCCGGGCGCGGCATACCGCCGCTGTGAACGCCCTGGCATGGTCTCCGAGCGCGGATCATTGGTACTGGCTCGTGTCTGGGTCAGACGACCGGACCGTGTGCCTCTGGGACGTCGCGAAAGGCGTACGGCTGTCCGTAGTCAGCGATTGGCACAAGGCGTCCGTCATCCGAATCCGCTTCGGAGACGTCGACTCGGACGACGAAAGCCGACTCGAACTCGACTCTACCGACAAGAGAGGACACATATGCAGCTGGACTGTCACGGAGCACGGACTCGTGCCGAGAAGGACGCCAGCGTCGTATAGTGACATGCGCGCATCGAACCCCGGGCTCGACCTCCAACCGCGAAACCACGAACCCGGGCCTCGCAGGAAGGTTTCGCTGGATGCAGACGAAGCTATGTCCTCTGCAGCACGCCCTCGACCCGATCGCCTATCCGCCGGGTCCGGTCGCAAAGCTGTACCGCGTCAGTTCGACGATGACTTCGACCGCTTGTTTTCCTTGCAAGTACAGCAGCAAATGGAGAAATTAAATCTGGGGCCTACGATCCGACGGGGGGCATGAGTATGATCACAGCTGTGCACATCGGCACTCGATACGAAGTTGTCTGTTGTAATAGCGAGGGCCCCTGGCTCGTAGGACTTCTCAGTACGTCGAGCTGCCGTGTCCATAGAGCTCCTCAAAGGGCCCTGGGAAGCAGTTCTTCCACGAGATGCTTGCGTGAATGCTTTATATGCGATCTCGGAGAAGAAGCGCACGCAAGTGCGAAAACCCTCTGCTCGGGGAGATTGAGAACGTACAGCCGCAGCCTGCCGTCATGGGTGATTCATGGCTCGCATGGCGACTATATATACCCATCCGTATCTCCATCGGAGTACGTTCAGATGGGCACATATGTCCCGAAGGCCTCAATGGTGCTTGCCGGTTCGAAATCTCAGCCACTCACCTGTTCATGGGGTTCCAACACTTTCCCTTCAGCGGCGGGTGAGTGCGCGCGCTGAGGTCCGCCGCGAGGGGGGGAGGGGTAATTTTAATTGATGTGCGGCGCTGTCGAAGGTCGTACAGAGGAGTGGTGAAATGAGGAAGACAAGCGTGGCCGGTGCTTACCTCAACACTACGCCCGTGCCCCCCGGCGCGTCAAATACGACGTCTGTGGCTTTCTCACGTCTTGCCACGGCACCCTCCACGCACGATACGCTCCAGTAGGCGATCAAAAGCGCGATGTCGTCTTGGAAGCGCAAGTCGAATTGTAATCGACTATGCATGCGCCCGTAGACGGCCACTGCTTTGCAGGCGTCGTACGTTGCGCGGGCGGTGGAGAACACACCGTGACCAATGCCAGAGTGCTTGGCAGACCGTACGGGGACCAACGACTGCTGAGCGTCACCAAGGTCGGCGAAGGTGACGGAATGGCAGTCTCCGCTTCGTTTATCTTATCCTTCTCCTTTTACAGCACTATTCCCCATTCAGCACGCGGTCAGCAGAGAGGTAATGAGGGAGGACGTACCTTTGCTACCTTCGATCTTCTTAGGCTTGAGCGCTGATCTTGCACTGATTCGTCTCGGCCTCTATCAACAGCGCCTTCTCTACTGAATGCTTCTTCTCCTCGGCGTAGGTACCGTTGCGGTTCAGGACCTCTGCCACGGGGCGCTAGGTGCAGTGGCAGGAAGAAGTTGCGGGTGGGCGCGTCGTACGCCACGTCCAAGCAGAGATCGATTGGCGAGTTCTGCTGTGCACATACAGCGTAGAAAACCAATGTGGGGACCTGTAGCACTTTCGAGATCATTCAGACTAGAGCTGGCAGCAACGACGGAGGGAGGGAGGAGAGTGCAACAGGCGCCCAGGCGCGTTCGTGTTCCTCGCTCGGGAATGTCCTCCGACTCGGCCCACCTCTTGCGTCTCTACCTACTCCGCATCCTGGCGACAATCCCATTCACCACTCAGTCGCATTCAGTAACCGATAAGTCTCAAAACAGCCATGATGTGGTGAATTCTTCCCGAAACATGCAAATAGGCGGTGAGGCTTGCATTCAAGTTTGCGCGCCGACGGGCAGGTATTGTATACCGCGAACAAACGCACCCTTCTTTAAACCCGGGTCCGGTTACAAGGCATTGTGTTAAAGAGCTGTCTTCGTGATAGCTCGTTCATTAATCGTAGGTATATAAGTGATCCACTTGGAAGTGACTCCCCCAGTACACAGCGCGCTCTCCACCATGCAGCCACTGCCGCCGGTCATCACCGCTACTGTACAATACCACGTCGCACTTCTCCACAATCCGGAATCACACAACGATCGCGAAGTAACTCTGGCGGAACGCAAGGCCCCATTGAAACTTAAAAACCCTCAGGGGCCACACGGTGAGATTGCAAATGATGAATTTCGTACGGCACTGACACGTGTAATGCTTCACAGCTTCCACTGATATGCACACCCCTGCGATGAACCCTTTCTTTCCTGCTCAACCGCTTTCGGACATCCCGCGAATCGCAAATTCGAATATGGGAGACCGGGCGCACGGCGGTGAACCTGTGAATCGGCACCGCACCTACACCAGCTCAATCACGGCCCTTGCCATTGTTGAACTTCTGTGTCTACGGCTGTGCCGGACCGGGAGTGGCAGTGATAGTGGCTGTGCGTCTACCATACGCCAGCATGGACTTTCCTACTTACCATATACGTACATTCTTTTGTTCTGTACTTACTTGGCATCCTGCCATCCCTCCACATGATTCTGGTACGTTCTACGATGTTCCGGACTATTCTAGACAGCGTCCGGATTACTCGCATTACTCAGCCATGGACTATCTGACCTTATGTCGATTATGCTCCCTTACTCAGCGTTACTCATCGCTCAGTCAGCGTCCTCTGGACGTCACATGCTCTCTTCTTATACGCTTACTCATCGTCCTCCCCAGTAGTATATAAGGAGGACTCTGCAGGCCTCTGCTCTTCAGTCGTTCTCTCACAGACTGAAGAGTAA